CATGCACAGGCTTGTACAAAGTTATTAACTAGTAGGACTCCTGAGTAGGAAAGAGTTGAATGGTCTGAGAAGGAAACTATCAAAATCATCTGAAAAATCAATTTTCTGCCATTCTGCGGGTTCTCTGTTGTCATCAGAGTATAAATCTTCAGTCTCTGAGAGGACATTTTAAAGCCCTTCTATCTTCAGAACTGGGCATTTTATTAAAATATGCATTATCATGTCTTTGTGAGACAAATAAATGCATTATAAATCAGTAACAATGAAATTCTAGGCTTGAAACTCAGTATTAGCCATTGGTTAAAATTAGTTGTAAAAATATTGTCCTAGTACTAACTCATCCTTGATGCCTTTGGAGAAGAAGCCAGGTCAATAGGCCACAGGCAGCCACTTAAAATGTTAGTAACCAACAGATTAAAGGACACGGGGCCAGTGCTGGGTGTCAACACATGTTTGCAGAGCCCAGATGTTTAAGAATGGACAAGATCCAGATCAAAAGCTGGAGGTCCCTTATCTCAAGTTAATTGCTTTTATTTCTTACAATGGCAGTATTGATACATTTGCATGGGGCCAGATACATGCCATGGGTGCCAAGAGTCTGCTTTATAGAACCGTAAAATTTCACAATCTGGAAAGACTTTAGCAATGTTCTTGAGTCCATTTTTTAAGAACTTTCATCATTACCCTATCTATAACTTTCAAGATTTTGGTCACATTTACTTAATATTTTCATTTAAAGGAGTTTACTTTTTAAGCGTATTTATCTTAAAACTTTGTTATCACAGTAAGAGAAAAAAGTGTATCTCTGGACCTAAAGGGTAATAACCATACTATCAAATAAAGAAGTTACAACCTAAAAACATCTCCCTACAGTGACCCTGTGAGGCATCTATTACCCTTACTCTCAGCTCACTGAGGAGATCGAGGCTCAGAATTAAGTGACTCCCCAGGGTCAACTTATGAATGAAAGAGGCTAGATTCAAAACCAAATCTGCCTACTGTTAAAAAAAAAAAAAAAAAAAGTTCTTATGTCCTCAAATTGGTTCCCAAGACTGGGAGTTACTTCTTTTTTGCACAACTCCAATGTGAACTCCCTGAGATTCAAAATGTAGACATTTCTGGAGGGAATGGAATATATGTACTGAATATGTGTTCAGTAAGACACCAAAACAGAAAGTGTTGAGAAAAGCGTATTTTACATGAGGGACTGGAATAAAGGCAGCAAAGGATTCTCATCCTGGCTCACCCTAAAAACCTACTATTAACTCCTTCCACTGTTGAATCTTCATGAAGAAGGTGAGAGAGGGGGGGTGCTTGGGTGGCTCAGTCAGTTAAGCGTCTGGCTTCAGCTCGGGTGATGATCCCAGGGTCCTGGGATCCAGTCCTGCACTAAACTCCTTGCTCAGCAGGGAGTCTGCTTTTCCCTCTCCCTCTCCCTGCTGCTCCCCCTGCTTGTGCTCTAATAAACAAAATCTTAAAAAAAAAAAAAAAGTGAGAGAGAGTCTCATAATTTTAGAAGGTGTGTTCAGCCAACTGCTAGAAAAGCATCAGCTCAGAGTTACTCCAAAAACTCCTTAACATGTGTCGCTGGGTAAGTAATTCAGAACTAGGAAGACTCTAAGAGGAGGGTAGTCATCCCTGCTGTGAACCGTTTTTATCAGTTATCTCTTTAATATGCCACCAGAGGGAACCTGTTCTTTACTCATTTATAGATCTTCTGATTACCCAGCTTCATTGTCTCAACTGCCCTGGTTTTACGACCTTCACCGCAAATGGAGGCTGGTTCTGTCAGTGAGTCCTAGTGAGGAGATAAGATGGCGCCGCATCTCTCCAGAGTCCCCACACAATGCCCAATACTGACCTCGGAAGGAGGAAGGGCCTCCTGTGAACCTGCTTACTCGGCATGGATCCTCCTGGGAGAACAGAAGCCCTGCGGATGGTCAACTGAACTAAATGAGAAATTCCTAAAGGCCAGACACTACACTTTTTGTTTTACTGTATTCACCAAAAGGTAGACTACTGAATTTTGCAAGACATCTGCATGGCCTGCATCTCAGACCTCAACCCTTATCTCAGCATATTCAAAATGGAATCATGGTCTTTACCCCCAAAGCATTTTGATATAAGTCCTCTCAAACTTCTAAGGTGCGCATGTATATATGTATGCCTGGCCATTTTCCCAAGTCAGCAATCACTCTTTTGTCTTCTCCTGGCTGCATCTTACCCTCTCTCAAGTCTGTGGACGGGATAACAATCTCCTTGACTAATCTCCTATTATCAGAATTTAAGGTACTGACAATATTTTCTATTCTCCCATGACTGTCCTTACAAGCTCCTCTTTATAAACATGTCTTACCATTTTCTCGTGATATTCCCCCAAATGAGCGGATCCAGGAACATGCATACTTCCAAAGTTCACAGACTCTTGTGATCCATCCACCACCTGATACATTTCTCTGCTTTGAGGAACACCAGTACCTCTCTGTGTCACATTTTGCACTATTAATTATGTTCAGTATTTGCCCTCCACCCCCAAAGTTTTAATTTGTTGAGAGCAGACATCCCCTGACTCAATTCAGATTTTGACAAAGAGTAATTAACTACAAACGCTGGGTGCTGCGGTAGAAATGGATGAGGTGTAATCCCTGCCCAGAACAGCAGGGGAGGCAGAGTCACCACCAACGACCCAGGATACATTAAGTTCCACACTGTAATAGAGGTATCTGAAACTGAACTATGGGAACAGAGATGAGGGAGCAAGTGAATCCCTCCAGGGGCAAAGGGAAATAAGGAGGTGGGGCGTGGGGGGGGTGGTATTAGGAAGCTATGGAGAGAGGCATATTGTTGAGCTATTTCTTGAAACATTAAACATTAAACATTCTTGAAGCAATAAAAGCTCACAAGGTGAACAAGTAATGGGATGAAGACATACAGGACGGATTTCCAAGTAGAGACCAGTCAATTCACGCTTGTTGTTTTGACTGGAGCAACAGTTCCACTTAGGAATTCAAGAAAACCTCCCATCTTTTGAGGTAGGGTTTTTCACCTTCTGCAGTGCAGAGATTGTGAACCAGGTCATTTCTTCTTCTTCTTCTTTTTTTTTTTTTATTTATTTGACAGAGAGAGAGAGAGAGAGAGAGAGAGAGACCACAAGAGAGGGAACACAAGCTCAGGGAGTGGGAGAGGGAGAAGCAGGCTTCCCGCAGAGCAGGGAGCCCGATGCGGGGCTTGATCCCAGGACCCTGGGATCATGACCCAAGCCAAAGGCAGATGCTTAACCACTGAGCTACCCAGGTGCCCCCGAGTAATTCTTTCTTTGCAGGGAGGGGGGATTATCTTGTGCATTCTGGGATGTGGAACAGAATCCCTGCCCTCTCCTCACTAGATATCAGTAACAACTATTCCCCACCTTCCAACTGTAACAACTGAAAATGTTTCCAGACACTGCCAAATGTCCAAGAGCATAGGGGGATAAGGCGAGGGGCGGAAATCATCCCCAGCCAAAAACCACTGTTTTAAGCGTAATTCTAGCTTTAAGGATTTCTCTCTTACTACATACTAGCTCTTCTCTTTGTTTTGAAAACGATGTTTTCTTTGGTTCAAAACCCAATTGGGCCCTCATTCTCTTTTTAGAGAAGAGATAAGTTTAAAAAATATTCAATTTACTAATGCCCACACTACAAAAAAGGACATCTTCTCTGATTAAACCTAATAAAAAATGAGATGTTCACTATGATATGGAAGTGTATATTTTACACACATACACACACACACACACCCACACACCCACACACATATTGGGGTTGAGATTTGTTTAGAAAATTACAAAGTGTTTTTCACTTTTGGTCTCACTGGATGCTCAGGACACTGTGAAGCATTTATCATCATTCCTATTCTAGAGATGAAGACAGAGTGGCTGAGACATAAAATATCCAAGACCATCTGAGTGTTAGGGAGGACTGCTATCCAGACAGACTCATGCTGCACTGTATACATTTTTCCACTTAATTTAGTAAACAACTAGTAGGAGCTTCTTTAGGCTGCAGACAGAGTAAGCCACAGAAAAAGGCTCATCTTAAAGTCTCATGCCCTACTATCTATATAGCCCACCAAGAAACTAAAGTAGGAAAAAAATGCTTCTAGAAGCAAAACATTTACCCACCAAACTATGTTTTATCTATCCCTTGCATGACTTTAAGAGCACCTGATGTGCAAAAAGGGGAGTAATACATACTAATTATAACATTTACACTCGGTTTTTAAAGTACGTTAGCAGCTTTTAGTCACTCGCAATAGCCCTAGAAAATTGGTCTAATAAAGATTATTATCCACCGACAGAAAACTGCACATAATTAATTAATTAAGGCCACACAGCTAGTTAGAGATTAAGTAAAAATTAAGTTCTTTGTACCTCTAGGTAAGTGTTCTTTCCACTACAATTTCCAGCATCATATGACCCTACACCCCTCCAGACATGACTATCACCAGGCTAATAAATAAAAATATCCTTAACTGTACATATACTAATTCTGTTGCAATATTATCTGAAGCCATATCTCCCGTTAGCATAGATGTTATCTTTAAAACTACCGAAGTATAAAGTGGGAATTTTTGCTACTCTTTTCAAAGACAAAAAGCACTCCCTTAAATTAGGCAAAGTGCCAGAATCAGTGAGTCTATTTTATTCAAGACCCACTAGCTGACACCTGACAAAACGTCTGCAATTTCCTTAGCTTAATTCAACTTTACACTCAGCTAATATTTAATATTTGATACTTCCGAACCTGAATTCCAACATGACAAAAAGGTGAGCAGGGAGGGTCTAGGAATTTCTGGGACATAGAATGTGGAGTCTCTCTTCTTCAAATATTGTCTATGTAAAGACAATTTAAGATAGAAATACTATACACTTTGCAACAGATAAGCACAGGCATTTGAGTATGAATGGATAGCAATTCAATTACTGGTTTCAACACACAAAAATATTTGTAAAGTCTTACTCCATCATGGAAGGTGGGATAGTACAGCAGTCTTGAATTGCAGTTAGAGGAGAGGTCAGGTGAGCCGTATAGGAAGCTTCTACAACCTGCTTGTTCCGGTTGACCACATCCAAGTAACGATTGAACTTCTCTCGGATTTTTTTGGCTAGCTGTGAGACAAAGAGTAAGCAAAATAAGTCGAAGGCCCACCGCAATAACCCACCATGTTTTTCCTAATAAGCTCATTAATTTGTATGACAGGCTGCATGTATTACATGCATGTTTTACTTCAGGTAAAACCAACAATATACACCCAAGTGGGTAAATTGAGATAAAACACCCAGGTCTCATTCTTCCGTGTAAATTGATATTAAAACTGCAAAGTGTCCAGAAACCCCAGAGGGATAGTCAGATGACAATAAAACACTACCTGTGATCTTAAAATGGCTAAAGATACATGAGAACTTCTCATGGGTATGAACTCATGAAGAACAATACTGATCCATAAAATGCCTCGCTAGACAAAGGAAAACAAAGCCTACCGACACTACTGTCAGCATGACAAGATTAATACTTACACAGCAACAACAGTGATTATAAGAAAACAACCCACTATTCATGGTTCTGGAGTCACACAGATTCTTCAAGAGAAAAATACATGAAGAAAGGAAAGAGCATACAGCATGTTCTGCCACACAACTCCAGGGGGCACCTTTCACAGTCCTCCATGCAAATGGCAAATCCCTGGAGCTGCACAACATAGACATCCACATAAAACAAAATATACCATTAAAAATACACGCATGTTTGGTCTGTCCACCTTTAAGGTGGACAAATGTCTTTCGTAACTGCTGCGAACAGAACACTTCATCATAATTTACTTTCATGTGGGAATAACAAAAGCAAATGGGTAAGCATACTGCTTTTTCCTCCCCATTGTTGTCATCAAATATCACGGCTTAATTACAGATCTCCAAGGAAAACTGTGTTGTTTTTCTTCCCCTTAAACAAAATGTTACCCAAATGAAATGACTGATAGAATTATAGCTAATTGGTTTTGTAGAGCTATTCATTATCAGCACACTAGAGGAGAACTAATCATCTCCTTTGAGTCATGCAACGCACATGGTCCAATAGCTTACAGGCTGAGAACAGGGAGCCAAAGCAGGGTATCTCCATTTTTTTCAAGCCAATTCCAAAATCTGATTTTGTTCCATTGATGTTTGGGAGTTTTCAGAGTTTCACTTAAATAACGGAGATTCTCAGCCTTGCTAAACAGTGCACAAACGATGAATTGGTTTAGAAAAATTTCTAGATGTAACAAGTGTATCAGAGTGACATTTCATATGATAAAGTGTTGTCCAAATTTGTTTTAGCATTTTCAGAGGAGGAATTCTGTGTCCTTTATTTTTTTCTTTCAAGATTTTATTTATTTATTTATTTGAGAGAGAGAGAGAGAGAGAGAGAGAACGCACAGAAGGAGAGTGAAAAGGAGAAGCAGACTCCCCGCTGAGCAGGGAGCCTGATATGGGACTCAATCCCAGCACCCTGGGATCATGACCGGAGCAGAAGGCAGATGCCTGACTGACTGAGCCACCCAGACACCCGATTCTTACATTTTTAAATGTCTTTTTTAAAAAGGCACTTTGTGATAACTATGGGAAATTCACCTTTCAGTGCTCATAAAGTTTTAATGAAACAGTCATTTGTTTATCTGTTTATGGCTGCTTTCATGCCAGTGTGAGAGTTAAGTAGTTGCAACAGAGGCGATATGGCTTGCTTCACTGTTAAGTTAGAAGTCAGAAGCCCCAACGTGTCCCAATATAGAGCCATAGTCCCAGTAGTTTTATAAAAATTTCCTGAATTTTTTTCACACACACACACACACACACACACACACACACGCGCGCACACACACACACACACACTGCCCCTGACAAGTGGGCTGTATATTCCTTCTCCACACCCACTCCTTGAATCTGGGTAGGGTTATGGTGGCTTCCGCCAGTCAAGCACTGAGAAACTGACACTATGTAAGTTCTGAGTCTAGGTCATAAAGGGCCATGCCGTTTCCGCAGGTCTCTCTCTCGCGGAATGCGATCTCAGCCACCACATGAATGAAGTCCAAGACACATGGAAAAGCCACAGTTAAGTGCCTGGCTGACAACTCCAGCTGCTCAAGCCTTCAAGTCATCTCAGCCCAGGTTCTGAATAGGAGTCAAGAAGCCTCCAGTAAGTCCCGGTGGTGAAGCCCCAGATAGCACAGAACGGAGATAAGCCATCCTTGCTGTGCTGGACCTGAGCTCCTGTCCCACAGAATCTGCAAGCATGAAGAAACTGCTGGTTATGCCACCGAGTTTAGGGTGCTTTCTTGAGCAGCAGTAAGTGACTCGATAGGCTGACAGGTTGAATTCCGTCCCTAGACAAACATATTGAAGCTAGGCTATCCAAGCTGCTCCAGTCCAGGTACTACCATTGACATCATCAGAATTACCAAGACTGGAGCCTGTGCACCAGAAACCTGTCCAAAGAAACTGCAGGGTTCTTCGCAAAATTATAACAGCTACTGTACAGAGGTACTTACCACACACTACACACATGGTGAAAAATATGATAAATCACACAATCTGAGGAAACTCCCATTAATATAATCAGCCAAGGCACAGAGCCAGGGCACAAAGCCCCCCACTCCTGGGCTGGGCGGGGAACCAAGGCTTTCCCTGGAAGGGGAAGGGGGAGTCTGATGGGCGGAGGCGAGGGGAGGAGAAGGGGAGAGGCACTGCCACAAGTAGTGGGGGCAAGAGCAAATTGGCAATGTTTGCCTTCGGCCACCTGGTTAGAATGGGCCTTGAGCTACATTTTTCATTAGTGGAGGCAGGGACCTACATGCAGAATCCAGACACATACGACCATTAACAGAAGACCTCAAATGCCAGCTCCTTCCACCTTGGATTCAGACCTCTCAGTCGGAAACTCCTGTCTTTCACGTAGTGATACCCCATCTTGCCTTATTAAAAAAAGATACTAGACAACCTAGGTGGCTCAGTTGGTTAATGTCTGCCTTCGGCTCAGGTCATGATCTCCAGGTCCTGGGATCAAGCCCCACATCAGGCTCCCTGTTCAGTGTGGAGCCTGCTTCTCCCTCTGCCCGTTGCTCCCCTTGCTTGTGCTTACTCTTAACAAATAATAAATTTTTAAAAATCTTAAAAAAAAATAGCCAACATTTGTTAAGTGCTAACTATGTGCAGGACACCCTTCTAAGTACTTCATAAGCACATACCAAATTAAACTTTCAAAGAACCCTGTAAGGTACACATGTCCATTTCCCCCCCACTCCAGAAGCAAAGTTACACAGCTAGTAAGTAGTAGAGCTGGCCCCCAAACCCAGTAGTATTCCAACTTCAGAGCCTCGGCTTCGACCTCTGTACAACACGGTTTCTCTCCGTAATACACACGGACCAATAATCCCCTCCTCCCATTTCCTTTCAAACCCATTTTAACAAATGCTGTGAAATTCTTGGCAGCGTACCATAAGCCACACACCGTCTCATTACTTTCTAATAAAAATTAGACTTCTGAAAACACATTTAGAATTGTACATAATTCCTATGAAAATCAAGCCTTTGAGGAGGTTTAGAACTGAATTCTACCACTGATAAAAAAAAAGGGGGGGGAGATGGGGCCAAAGGTGAATCGATGTATTCTCCTAAAACAATACCTGCTATTCCTGGACTACTGTGGTGTAAGTTACATCAAACTAACCTAAATTATTCCAATTACTCCAGGGTGTTTAACTTTGTTCATAACCTGGGAAGAAAACATCATGGATGTACTTACTTTTCCTTTCCTTTCAGAAGTGACTTACATAATTCAGTATTTTCCTCGAAATTTTCATTCAATTAATTCATCTGCCCTCATAGGGTAGTAAGATGCAATTTTAATTCCCATTTGACAAGTGAAGAAACTGAGGCATATGGGGCTTAAGGGTCTCTTGACTCCCACATAGGGCTCTGGCCTCCCTTGACCCCACTGCCCGAGATGACCTCCCTGTGCCTTTCTGACAAGGAATGGGAGAGTGACTCACTATGGAAATGTCAACTCCTGCTCCACGGCAGGGTATTTTTTTCTCTCTAAAAGCAAGCTCTTTCAGCATGCCAACCAAATCCAGGTTGCTCGGCGGGCATAACAGAATCTATTAGAGTAAAGATAGCCCACAGAGAGATTAAGTCCTGAACGTATCCGTTCAACTGAAGAGGACCGACTACCAACACAGAACCTTCCAAGAGGCCCGACGGATTCTGGGTCTGTATCCTGCCATGATCCCTGCAGACAGGAGAAAACAAAGGACATTCTTAACAAAAGCTACAGGTGGACCCACAATCCTCCTCAGTGTAATTAAAAACATTTTTCTTTCCACAGCTCAGCTTTCATCTTTTATCCTTCTTTATCCTCTCCCCTTCATCCCCTAAGGGGTTCCTGAATGCTGATGAGACGACGGGACTAAAACCATCTTGTCATCTTTTGGGTCAATTCTTCGGCTAGCCAACATCCAGCCATGGGTCAAATGATCAGTAGGTAGCATGCCGGTCCCCATGGGAACGGATTCTAATTTGTCATCATCTCCAGTGACAACGTTTCATCACAACATCAATGAATTTCTTTCTTGCTGAATTTCACTTCCCTTAATTTTCCCATAGACATTTCTGTCATTTGCATACTTCCCCAGAGCCCCCCCTTTTAAAGCTCTTTTTACCTTAGCTTTATACTTCTAAAGATTGGGGGTGGGGTAGGGCTGGGGTAGGCACACAGAAGAAGGTAAAAGAAAACAAAAATGCAAACGCACAGGACACGCTTTATTTATGTCTCTTTCCTAAAACTCCGGAAGGAGTTTTGAATGTTAAGGAAAGCTTTATTTAAAATGCATAACAATGAAGCTGACAGGCACAGACAGGAAAGGTACCCTAGGGGACTGAAGATTCATAGCAAAATTCCTATTGAATGTAGAAGAGTTTAACGTTTGACATTCAAAAACCTTTGTGCCATGATAAGAATTTAATAGCTGATCCCCTCTTCCTCCCATCCCAGCCTTATTACTCAAGAATTATTTTCCCCCAGCAGCTTCAGGACTGAGTTATTTAAATGTGACACAAATAATTTTTAGAATAGGCAA